TGTTATCGTATCGGACGTACCGTGTAAGGAACCCGCAGACAAATTTGTCGAGCTCCCGGCTATACGTTTGCGGCGTCTGGTGGGTGCGCTGTTGTTGCTGGTTTACATGGCTGCGTTATTGCCAATGTGGAATGGAATTCGCATCGGTCGCGCTGCGGAGAAGGGAGTGTGGTTAAGGATTCGTCGGAGCCAATTGGCTTGTTGGAAAGTAGTTTTGGCGGTGAGCCACTCAGCTTCACACGTTCATAGCGCAGCTACGTTTTGCTTGGTCGATGTCCAACTGACAGGAGAGAGATCGAGAGTATGCAGTGCACTTGTGTAGGACTTGCGGTTGGTCGTGTTGGTGCAATCAGAGTCGCTAAAGCTTGCGAGGTTCACTGGGGAAGGGGAAAAAGGGGTAGCAGTGCGCATGTACAGTATGTAGACGTGGTGGGAGCCTTGGAGGTATCTGAGGAGCACGTTTAACTGCTCCCAGCGATGTTGGGTTGGTCTGTGCATGCTGGCCGCTAGTCGGTTGGTGGGGTGCGTAATGTCGGGCCTCGTGATATCGGGCAGGTACCGGAGGTCTCCTGTAGTTTATCGGAAGGTGTGGGCTGTCGTAGCGTCCAGTAGTGAGGCTTGCTTGGCGTCTGCGTCGTTGGGGGTTTCCGGAAACGGTGTGTGTTTGGCATTGCAGTTGGAGAGTCGGAGTTTTTCGAGGATTTGGGCAAATACGTGGGGCTGGGACAGGTGTATTTAGCTGGTGTGAGTGCGAGAGACTTTCCAGTTGAAGTATTGAGTGGGAGGACCCAGTCGTTCAACCCTGAACTTTTGTAAGAGGACTGTGTGCAAGCTGTCGACCAGATGTCCGTGGGGCGCTATGTTGAGAAAGTAGTCCAAGGTGACGGTGACGGCTATGATGCCTTCAGATGTATGGGTGGTAAAGAGGCAGGGGTCGGCTTGGCACTGTGTGTACCCGTAGGTTTTGAGGTGCGCCACCAGCCCTGTGAGATAAATGTGGGCGGCAGGGGGTGCCATAAAGGTTACAAAGAAGGCGGTCAACCGTGCCTGGGTGCTTGCGCTTGCCGTTGGCCCGGGTGGGTTGCTTCAAAAAGACTGAGTGGTTTTTGTCATTCTGTTCGTGGAGGTACGCGGCTTCGATGTCGGCTTGTTCCGGGGGGTATGCGCAATGTGCGGCAATAGCGAATATCAATCGTACTGTGGTCCTCCCTGCCATGTATGCGATGCTGGTATGGATTTCATAGTGTGTACCTGCTGTCATGAGGTCGCCCGGCACGGTGCAGTGGGGTTTTCGTTTTTTTGACGGTGCCGTTAGTGTTCCATTTGTACCTATTTGTCATTCTGAGAGGGTGTGGGTTTGAGTGTTGCGGGGTAGTGTATGGGGAGAGCCAGTGGATCGTCACGTTGCGGTCCAGGGTGTGTAGTTCGTCATTGTGGGCTTCGGCCCATGCCGTGGCATCAGAATATGTCTGAGATGATCTAAGTGACGGGGTCCGTGGTAGTGATGGGTATCTGCGTTGGGATTTGGGTTTGAAGGGCTCGTGCATGCTGATAGACGGGGATGGAGGTGCCAGCGTACGGCTTAAAGTCTGCCGTGCACATGTGGCGGTAGGCATTGGAGCGGAGGTTCAGTACCATGATGGTGGTGTCGGTGAGTCCATTCATGTTGCGGACTGGGTCGGCGCGAGGCTAGAGTTTTTTCTTGCGGTGAACGGACGCTGTTTCTTTCTGTCCAAAGGTCAATGTTTGGGGCATCGAGGGGTTCTGCATGTGCCGGATTTCGTTGTGGGATCTGCCGTGTGCAATGTGCCGTATGATGTTGTACTTAAACGCTGCACCGCAATTGAAGTCCTCCCAATACGTGTCCGGTAGTTGGGCATGGGACAGATTGGCTCGTGCGGCAGCTATCAGGGCGTGGTTGATACGTTCTGCGCGTGAGTTTTCCTGGGGTTGGTGTGGGGTTGTAGTTTTGAAATTAATACTGTAGGACTTGTAAAGTGGCATAAGTACGTTGGTTTGGTACTGTCGGAGCGGAATGCCGCAGGTGGTCGGTGCCGTTGTGTTACTGGCCACGCGAGGAGAGCGAGTATAATGAGGCCGACTTCCTTGCGGTCCTTTAAGAAGTAAAGGATAAGGTCCCGAATTTGGGCATCAGCAAAGGTGAGGAAGTGGTTGTGGCTGTGGTTGGAAGTGGTGTGGATGGGGCCACATGTGTCTGAGCTAATATAATTCCCGACGGGATATTGTTTTAGATTCGGTTTGTGACGGAAGGATTTTTGTTTGTCATAAGCGCAGGCGCAGCATGTGATAGTTGGGGTGGGTTGTGAGCGCTCAGGGTGTACCAGGGATGGTTCGGTCTCTGGTCATTTTGCTGAGTGTGGTAATCGGGACATGGTTAAGGCGGAGATGCCATTCATAGAACGTACATGTTTTGGCAATCGGCGATCTGGGGGTAGGACCATTGGGGTGTACGGTGAGTTGGTGTGGCGGTGTTCTGGTGGCGAGTGGGAGACGTGGTTCGGAGGGAAGTTGGGGAGCAGTCGATCGTTGGGCGGTGGGTTTGGTCTTTACCGTCGGTCGGTCTCTTTGGGTAGGGGACGGTGCGCGCCGCCTGAGCGGGTGTTGGGAGTGGTCTGTTACTGGTGGCGCTTGGATTGGTGACGTAAGCTTGTGCACGGTGATTCCGGGATGCAAGGAGTATGAGAGAATGGTGGCGCTTGACGAGGAGGGCTTGTGTAGGTGTGAATAGGAAGAGTCCATGTGTCGTGATGTCTTTTGCAGAGAAGAGGTTGTTCTTGATGCTTGTGTTGGCGACGACCTGGACAGTCATGAGGTGGTTACTCTTCGTCTGGACCTGTATGGTGCCGTGGTGTGTGAAGGGTGTTTGTTCGTTAGTGGCTGTCACAGTGTGAAGGGGGCTATGAAGCAGTGTCATCTGGGAGAGAGGGATGGCGACGTGGGTGGGTTGGGCGGCGAAGTCGAGGATGAACGTACCATTGTCGTCTGTTTCGAGCGTGGCGGCGGAGTTATGATCTACGTGGAGCTGCTTTTGAAAGTGAGCGACAAGTTTGGCGTAGTCGGGGGCCTGTACGAATTGTGCGGCGGTTCTGCTGTACTTGCGTTTCTTATTGTTGAGGTGGTCGGGGTCGCGGCATTGGATGTCAGTATGGTGTTATCTGATGATGCCTAAATCTATGTGGAGTTGGCAGGGACAGGAGTCTAGCGGCAGGGGCGCTAGGGGGCGGGAGATCGGGTCTGGCGCTTGAGTAGTTGCTTCAGGAGGGAAGTTACTTTGCATGTTCTGTGGCTCTATGATGCTGGGGGTGAGGAAGCGATGAGTTCTTGGGGCGTGTAAGTGTGTTCCTGAGGCTCACAGTAGGCAATGACCCTTTTGAATTGGTGTTGAAAGGCCTTGATGTCTTTGGGTAGGTTGAAGAGGAGCTGTGGGCTTATGTGGGTCGTTTCATGGTTGGACTTGAGTCTTGCGATCATGAACTCGACGGAGGTTTTCGATTTCAGGGTAGCAGGGTAGCTGGCCGCGAGCATCTTTGATCGAACGTGCTGATGCTTTGCTTCGTACTAATCGATCGTCATACCAGGAAGGAAGTGGATAGATTCGGCTTCCGTATTTGGATATTGGTGGTCGTTTTCGTTGGAGGTGTCGAGATGTTCAGTGATTTTGGTGATCAGATCGAAGGGGGCTGGTTCATGTGAGGGTGTGATGAAAAGGTTTGCAATATCGGCAGGAATAGACGCGAATATCTTGTGGATGAGGTCTTTTTGTGTTGTGTGATTCGGTCTTGGCCGAGTCGACTAGAATTGGTGGATTTCCCGTGATGTGGTCAGAGACCTTGCGGTATTGTGCTGCAGACTTGAGTACCATGAGCCATGGAGCGTAGTTGCTCAGGTCGAGGATAGGCATGCCGATTTTCGGGTTGAGGGACATGACGTATGTACTGCGGTGAGTTGTTGCTTGTTTGTCTGACGGATGTTGATCGTCGTGAGCGGAAAGGTGTGCGAGTCGGAGAAGTTCAGCTGTGAGTTCGGCTTCGTCAAAGATGTAGTGCCGCCTCTGTAGCCGTTGGGATCTTATGCTTGGGGTTAGCGTGATGGAGGTGAGTTGTGTGTGGTTGCAGATTGTGGGTTAGCGTGATATGCCCATAACCTGTGAGAAGCTGGTGACCTTTATTCAAAGATATCCCAACACTTTCTCTTCGTTCTTTCGATCTTCTTCGGGGTTTTACACAATACCTATCTTTTTCGGGACAGGCTGTCATGTGCGGTCTGACAGCGAAATCCTCAAATGAGGCGCATTGTCCAATAGACACTAACTTTAGAGCGAAGATCCTCTACCTACAGCACTGTAGTGCCTAGTGTCTAGGTGACAAATGACCTCATATGAGGTCACTTTTCAACTTATTTTTCTCGACTTGTGCTAGCTCAACAAGATGGAAAAAAGATACTCTCGACACGGCAGTTGACTTCTGCGTTGTGGAAGGGTGGAGTTTGGTGAGATCTGCACGTCTTCTCCAGCCATTTTTAAAATGCCCAAAACCAACCTCAAAACGTTTTATGTTGATATCTTCGAAACCAAAACGCCTGTTTAAAAAGTCAACTCATCATTGATACTTCATTAGATTCTTAGTCTCTCTGTGCATTGACAACCACCACCCCAATGTTTTGCAAGATGTTGTTGCCGAGCGCGTATACGTTAAAGAAATGGTGTCCAAACTGAATGTTTTGAAGTTTCGATTTAATTTATATATTTTTGCAAAAAAAGCTGGCCTCATATGAGGTCAAATTGCTTGTCGTCTAGACACTAGACGACTTGCGATATGCCTCATGCTGTACACTGCATGAGGCCAGCTTTTTTTCAAAAAACAGTATATTAATCGCAACTTAATAAAGTCAGTTTTGGACACCATTTCTTTAACGCACATGCCCTCGGCAATATAATCTTGCAAAACGTTAGGATAACAGTTGTTGACAAAGGACAACCTTTACGTATGTATGTTTATTGACATGAATACATAAAGGATTTCCGTAAAATAACACGCTGTCTTTTCTCCGTTTGCCCACAAACTCTCTGGACGTAGAGTAAAACTGAGATTGAAAATTTCCATCACAAGTTTTGCGGACTGACCTCCAGCAAGGTACCTGCCCGCAACAAGCGCAAGTGTGGTACATCGATGTGCCGCCCGACGGATCCCGTTCACCTGCGCGAATACTCGCTGAAGCGAATATTGAAGCTCGCCACAAGGATGGAAAGGTTCTCAGTCGAAAGGGCAATGTGCTTCGTCTTCTTGACAGGATGAGGGGGGCCGTTTGGAGAGGAACTCTTTTTAGAAGCATCTACATGTCGATCTTTCGCGGTTGCTTCGGCGGTATCTGTGGCAGATCCCGTCGCGCTTTGATCCATTGATGGACTCTGCAGATGAAGCGATAGCGGCGTCCATGAGGCATATCGATACGCCCCGTGTAGTCTGAGACTCGTTTGTGGTGATGAAAAGAACGGAAGTCCCAGCTTGTTTTCCTTCAAGACGGGTCGATCCGGCAGTGCTGTGATCAGGCGGATGTGAAACTCGTGGAAAACCCACATGCGCCCAGTTTTCGGTATGCTGTGAGTTTTGCAAACGCGTTGTTTGAAAATGTTGCTTTCAGAAAATCCGAGCAAACTCGCCTCCAAAACACGCGTTTTCGTGACTCTACGGGCAACCTTATAGAAAGACTAAGAATCGTAACGTTTCAATAGTCGGTTGACATTTTTTACAAACGTTTCGGTTTCGAAGATATCAACACGTATCGTTTTGAGGTTGGTCAAGAAGACTTGTTATGTAGGCATTCTAGAAATGGCTGGAAAAGGCGTGTAGACCTCACCAAAATTCCATCCATCCACAACGCAGAAGTCGACTGCGGTGGGGAGCGTACAAGAAGCGTATCTTTTCCCGTATTGTTGAGCAAGCACAAGTGTAGAAAATTAAGTTGAAAAGTAGCCTCATGTCGACGACCTCCTCGAACGGCACCTGAATACAGCGGCAGAGAGCGAGGCCATTGGTTGGAACGCTCTCCGTTTTGACAAATGCTTCATGTCACGGAAGATGTCACGGAAGACTCTGGCAGACATTGCAAAAGCCGGAAGCATTACAGTGTAGGCCCCAATCGCTGCATTCGATTGGTGCGGATGGGCAGCACTGACAAAAAATAGCTTAAAAAATAGCTTGAAAAATCAGGGCGCCGTCTCCGCCAGCATGCAGGTGCAATACCTGCCACAATTGTGGCTGCCACGAATTCGTGTTTCCCGCACTGTGGACTCCGCGCTTTCCAGACAGACTCAGGGCCGGTCTTAACAGAGCACGTTCTTGCCCGATGGACATGTAGCATCGTTGCGCGCGACGTCTCGCAGGAGAACGCGCCACGGGATTGAAGGGGAAAACGCGCACGAGGTGGTGTAGGCCATGCCAAGTTGGCATGGCGATGGACGTAATTTACTGTATGTTGGCATTGCCAACATACAGTAAATTACGTCCATCGCAAACTGACCTCATTCGCCCATATCTATAAGCAACACAGATTCCATGTTTACAAACCCCGCCACATCACCGCACCCCGCTTCGTCTCGCTAGTCACCAAACTTAGGCGCCCCCGCCCTTTCACCCACGCCGCTTCGAAAAACACGTATTCAGTTACCATACGGCATGTCGGCTACACCTTTTACATAATACTGTATGAGACTGTATGAGGAATATTATTCCTCAGTTTACAAGTCAAGTCTAATCCCTGCACCACTCTTTACAGCGCCGAGGCATCAGTTTCTGTCTGGGTCAATGCCATACCCGATGTCCCCGAAGAACCCGCGCGCCTCGTCTGTATGGAAGCCGAGCCCGAGCTCGGCGGGCTCGTAGCTGCCGCGCACCTGCATGAAGAAGCGTTTGTCGACATACTGCCGAATCGCGCCCTTGCCGGGACGGTCCAGCAGCACGTCTGCCCGTGGGCTGGTGTAAAAGTACCCGTCGACGGAGGCATTGGGCGCGTTGGAGAACTTACAGAACTCCGCCCCGAACGTGCCCTCGTTCAGCCGCACGCTGCGCGCCGCCCCGACGTTGCGCAGGAACCGCGTCTTGCCCTCCCACTCGCCGTTGGGCCCGAGCCGCACGGCCACGTCGCTCCGAGCAGCCGACACAATGCCCGTGCCCGGCGCCTTGAGGTCCACGATGAACCCCCCGAACGCCGTGTGCTTCATGCACTGGATCGTCGTCATCCACTGCTCGTACACGCCCTGCATCGGGTTGCTTTGGTAGCGGAACCGCCGGTCCAGGTGGCCCATGTCGACGACGTTGATGGTGCGGAAGCGCCGCGGCACATCCTTGGCCTTCTGCAATTCCTGCATGCGCGCGTCGTACGCCGTTAGTGGCACGAAGCCGTCGTGCTTCCCGCGCGCCGTCAGGAAGCCGAAGCTCGCCTTCTGCGTGATGTCCAGCATCAACGCGCCGGTGTCGGCCCGCTTGATCACCAGCTGCACCGTATGGTACTCCTCGGTGACGCGGCGCAACGTGCTCGCCTGTGCGTGCATCATGTAGAACACGTTGAATACGCCCACGCGGAACACAAACCCCTTGAACCCGGCGTCGTCCTCGGACTCCTTGCCGTTTTTCCATGCGGCGTACCCATACTTGGGCGTATATCGCATCAGGTGGTGCGGCGAGCTGCCGTGCTCGTGGCCGTACGCGCACCAGAAGCACGGGTCCCACGCGGGGTGCCACGTCTGAAAGTAGTGTCCGCGTGTGTCGGGATCGTGCGGATCGTCCATCTTGGCGCGCCACGTCTCGTGCAGCGCGCTCGGGCACGGCTGGTTGGGCGCGACCATGGAGCCTTGGAAGTACCCCGGCATGGGGCTAGCTCGGCCGTTGGCCTCCGAAACACGGACGTGAAAGTGGCGGAAGACGCGGAAGCGGGCGTTGATGTGCTTCTGTATCCATGATGCGGACGGGATAACGATGGAGTTATCCGAGCCTGACTGCCGCGAGAAGACGTACACGTACTGGTGCATGTGCGTGCGACCTAGCTTCTGGAAGACGCCAAACTGATACAGGTCAGTCGGCCTGCCGAGCGTGGCCCAGCCATGTCCCCTCCAGTTAGGGAGCGAGAGGCGCTGCGAATGGTGGATATGAAAGAGGCCCGGTGAGACGCCGAGGAAGAGGTAGGCGCGAGCCGGGCGCTGGAAGTACAAGCGGGCGAGGCGATCCTTAGCGCGCGTGCCGCCAGAGCGGAAGAGGTCCAAGTTGTAGTAGATGGTGGAGTTGGGGTCTGAGATAGGGGCGTAATTGTGCATCATGTGACGCGGGTGGTAGAGGATGTTCTCCTGCATGGCCGGGCGCTCCAGCTGCTCTATAGCGCGGATGAGTGGCGGGGTCCAATCTTTCCGGTAGGCCGGGTGGTCGCGGCATGAGAGCGCGAGATGCTGCGCGAGCGACGAGTGGAGGAGCAGCATGAGCGCGAGGAGCAGCGGAGTGGCGACGCACATTTTTGGAGGCGGGTTGGGGTGGGGGAGGTGATTAGTTGAGGGAAGGGAAGGGGACCAAGGACATGTTAAAGGGAGGGGGACAGGTACAGTGACTCGAAGGGGAGGGGGGTTGTCAAGGATGGATCAAAGAGGATGTAGTTCGGGCGGGGAGGGGGTTGCCCAAGTTTATCGCACGTTCAAGCTCAAGGCTTGAGATTGCATCACAGCAATGCAGATGTGTGCCACATGAAGTACCACAGTACAGTACGTGTCCAGCTAAGGCTGCTACAGTCCTGTACGAGCCCCAACAATGCAAGTCACGCATAGGAAACAATAGTTCTTCTGTGCGACTCGGGAACTCTACCCTCTATTATTGCTTTACTGGCTGTCTGTCAGTGAGGTCCAACATTCTATTAAATCCACCCAGCCACCGGGCTTCAGAGTCCACACATCGAATGAAGTGCCGCACGGGTTTTGGAGATGGGAGAATGGTGCTTCTGTTACGGCGGAAAGCAGCTTTCTTTGCAGTGGCCTCTGATTTTCTTTTCTAGTCTTTCCTCCCCCTAAGACGACAACTATGTAATGTCAAGTATGTAAAACGCAAGAACATTACTGTACCCACAACAAGACTCGTGGAAGGAAACCTCACCCACGAGCGAAAAAGAAATGAGGGAAAGGTAATAGGTGGTGTGGAAATACTTCAAGAAAAATACTGAGTTCTCTAAAAACTAAGGAAACACTTAGATACCGGTATCTAGTTTTTAGGTACATGCAGTACCTCTTTACTCTCGACGTCTTCGGACGGACGGAAACTGACGGTTAGAGATGCTGAATATTTCTTCTTAAAGTACCCTTTGTTTTCCCCTACTGGGATTTGATGGGTGCCCTTTGTACTAACCAGAGACCCATTTATGTCTTCAAAACACTTCGTGGGGACAACATCGTCCTGCTCAAAGCGACGATGATCTAAAAGTCCGTACAAACACAGGAAAATTCATGAACGTAATAGAGCTTCATGCGAGGAAATCACAGAAAACAAAACATAAATACATACGATAACAATACTTCGGTGAGATTATAAACCAACACCAACATCGGCAATTCATCAACAGTTATTTTTCCCTCAGACACAGTTGTTCTGGTCGATTTTACTTTCGTAAATTTACTCCTCATTCTTTGCGGATCGGACGTGAAGTACTTGGCCAGCCCAGCTGAACCTCTTCTCTGCGTGAACCCTCACAAACTGCAGAATCACCACATAGAGATTGACCCTGTTCTCGATGTAGATTCAGCTCATTAACAACAATATAGGGAAACTACATACAGCGCCTCGAATATATTAATTGCTCGAATCACGTGGGGTTTCGGAAATGTCGGTAGATAAGTTGATCAAATGTGCAACTGAAACATCAATCACATGTTACGCTAAGTTAGGCATCATATCCGAAACTGCGAGTTAACTTTCGAAAACGAAAACTTTCGCCTTTTTATGAGAAGTCCCTCACAATTTCAGTATACTCAAACTGAACAGTACAAGATATAAAAACTGTGCATTTGATAAAGAAAAACCATTTCACGGCACTCTTCCCCATTTATTCCATACGATATAATGTTTCCATCAGGCCTATCTCAGAAATGCACCCCTCCCGTGTTGTTAAGGCCATCTCCCACATCACCAAATGACACTTCAATGATATCATCAGTCATATTTTGACGATGACGTCGCTGGTGATCACTGAAACGACTCTAATTGCTCGATTCATGACGCTTGATACAACTATGGAACTTCGAATCCACTGAGGGTATGTGAAAAATTGATTGAACTCAAGTCATTGAGATCAGCCTTATGATAGATGACTATCTGTCAAATAACTGGAATGCTGGCCAAGGTAAACGAACGGGAATAAATCTCAGGATTTGCTGTTTAGGGCATTAAATTTCCTGAAGCATGGTCAGAAATGGGATTTTGCAGGTCGTTTATATTCTGTTAACATTTCAACCTTCAAACGTCTCATGACTGCATATCTGCGAATGAAGTTGGAATATATGTACAGTATGATGTATGGGTGGCACGTGTCGGAGAAAAACGGAAAATGAGTAAGTTTCGTCTCGAAGAGCAGTAATTTCCTAAATTTTAACTACGCAAGATATGCTGTCAACGTTAAATTCGAGCAGAGAAACCGTCCAGGTAGAAACGTGGCAGAGGGAAAACGTTTTTTCTCCGGCCAGCACAAGCTACATGAATACAAAGTAAACTGTCGGTTCTGCCACTTGTGCAGTGATGCAGCAAGGGTCAGTTGGTTGTTAGACACAAGGGAACAATGGAGAGTTCAATGAATAGGTGGATACCAATTTTACTTCAGCGACGTAATCCCGTAAGCTATATATACTGTAGACGTTAGCTAGTCTCGACGGTGGAGTTCACTAAAGTCTCTACTACTGCACTAGTTGCAGTCCCTCGGCCACAGTACACGGGTAGAACGTAGAAACACACAATAAGGTGCAAATAGCTTCGATACGGTGTACCTGAACAAGCCAGGTGCGGTCCTCGCCAGTGGTCCTCGAAAGCGCATTTGCGTACCCAGCAGATAGAAAATATTACACAGAAATAACCTGCGTAGACAAATCAAGATACAGTGCACAGTGACGCAAAGCTGAATGCCATTATGGCATAAGAGCACATATCTCAACACTGCCCTCTGGTCTTACTTTTGTTGGTAAACAAATGCAGAGATACAGTGTCAACGAAAGTACATGGATCTCACTGGTCAGTTTAGAAGACATTAATCAGACCACGGCAACTGAATTTTCAAGACGGTTTGAGGAAAACGTCGTTCGAATTGTTGTTGGTTGTATATCTCCGACCGCATTGTAGTGCAATATGTGATGACGGCTGAGCAAAAGGGGAGGTGCCGTTGGCCAACGACGTGAGAGAGGAATGACTGGGAGTCATATGAAGGAATCAGCAGAGAAGGAAGCATCGCAAAGTGGGAATGAGCAGACGAGTTCAATGAAAGAGTTGAAGGAATCACCACAGTCCCCCTGAACTCGTATGTGAGTGACTGAATGAGAAGGATTGCCGGATTAACTTGAAAGTATGAGCGCAGGTTTACCCTGAACCTGAAGGTTTTTGATGCGTGTTGATGACGTCTTACAGTGCGGGGTGGACCTTGAAACCTGATGAAAATGGGTTTTCGGCGTCATGTGAATACGTCGGGTGTGAGACGTGTCGGCTTGTGAGAGGTTGCTTCTAACGACGTCGGGTGGTTGACGTGTGAGCTTGTGAGAGGTAGCTTCTAACGACGTCGGGTGGTTGACGTGTGAGCTTGTGATAGGGTAGTGTGGGAAGGAGGTGTACGGTGGGATTCGAACTCGCGTGCGCAGCAGTAGCAATGAGGCCCATAACCTGTGATGACGGCTGAGCAAAAGGGGAGGTGCCGTTGGCCAACGACGTGAGAGAGGAATGACTGGGAGTCATATGAAGGAATCACCACACAATACGCACCTGAAAAGGGGGGTGAAAAGAGATGAAAATGATGGGGTATGACAAGCAAAAGTGGAAATCATTTCACTTTATTATTTTAATTATTAATTTTAATTAGTCGCATATTAGGCCATCCCCACCACGGAAGATTTTCTATCTCTATTGAGGTATGATAAGCCCAAAATTCTGGTTACGGATTTTGTGCAACATTACCGAACAAATCTAATCTAAACGGTTAGAGAATCCTTTAGATTAGATAGTGAACTGACTCTATATTCTGGAAATTTAGAGTCAGTTTGGAGTCTATTGGTCGAATAGAGAGTGGCAATAGATACCCACGTGTGCATTCTGTACAACCCGTGTGCATTCTGTATGTTTTTCATTGGCCATCGCGCGCGCCTTCTTTGTGCAGAACACCTGGAAGAACTTCGGGGAGTGTGCAACAGTGCGTGCCCGTGAGAGTGCGCAACTTGTGTTTCCCGCCGGCGCGCTTTCCGCGTCTCCCGCTTTTTCCGCGTCTCCCGCGTTTTCTGCGCCTTCCGCGTCTCGCGCGCTTTTCGTTGGGCGATTACAGTACAACATGGGTCAAGGGGGTGCAGGTGTGCGCAATGAAAGCAGGGGGGCCACGGCGTAGAGGTGAGAAGAGTGTGTCTAAATATAGGCCGTAGGCGAGCGTGGAGCGCTGAGGAGAACCAGCATCTAGCTGAAAGCTGGATTGCAACATCGTGCGACCCGATTCATGGGACGGATCAAAAGGCCACCGTATTCTACAAGGGCGTAATGAAACGCTTCGCAGAGTATGGTGCATCAACTTCATCTAGCGTCCCCAGCGGGCGCTACAGCCACAGGGCTGAGGCAGCGGTTCGCCAACACTGGTTTGAAATATCCGCTGGGTGTTCAAAGTTCAAGTCCTGCATGCGAAGAGTGTTGGCCTCTGCTCCAACCGGAACAACAGACGGGGAGAACGAGGCAATGGCCGTCGCAATTCTGTTAGGGAGGGCGAAACTAATGGACTACGAGAACAAGAGCTTTGACCGCCATCAGTGGCCGCTCTTCCTGGCTTGGAGGGTGCTCTCTGCTCACCCCAAATGGTCTCTGCACACTGACCACGTCAGTGTCGACGGTTCAAGGGGCGATGACAACAGCGAGGGCGACGGCGATGATGGTGAAGATGGGGCTGGGCCCGGAGCCTCCGGCGCGCCCACCCCGTCGTCGAGCGGCGATCAAGACCCCAGCCCGCCTCCGAGAGGTGCGACTCCAGTCCCTGATGCCATGCCTTTGCCGGGCAGCCCTGAGCCGATTGGGAACAAGCGGCGCGGCGGAGCCCTCGGCAGGAGCGCCGCGAAGGCCGCGCGCTTAAGCAGCCGCGCGGACCCGGCAGTCGCTGCGTCCATGCAGGCGATGGCCCACGCGCTCACCCGGAGGGTGGATATTGCGGAGAAGCAGCAAGACAGATCCGAAAGGAGCAGGCTAGAGGACCTGGCAGCGGAGAGGCGCCGTCACGAGGCGGGCGAGGACCGAAGCGCCGTTGCCATTGCGCAGGCCACAATTGCAGCGGCGTCGCTGACAAAGCCCACTGATGAGGATGGCCGGTCTGTCGCCAACATTCTGCGGATGCTTCGCAAGAAGCAAGAGAGCCGTCTGCAAGCCGCGCTGTCCGCAGATGGGCTCGGTGGCGACCACACTGCGGGGTAGGGGGGGCGGACTGTCTCCTTTGCTCCTGATGGGTGTCAACATAGTCTTTCTTTTACTCCTCGCCCCGCTGAGCACGCCCTACTCCTATGTCTCCGCAAGAAACCTACGAGCGACGGCCCTCGAGATCCCAAATGTGCCTCATGAGCTTCCAGGTCAGCTCCCTGTGCGCAG